AGGTCGACTTGATACTTACTAAGGTCAAGTAATAACGAAAATAATTAATAATAAGCAGGTATAACTCAAGTCGTAAAATTTCCAAGTATGAAATAGAAATCTTTCCTTTAACCTTCCATAAAGAATGTTCATTCATATATAAATATTCAACCCAGTCTAAAGTCGGAACCACGGGTGGAGGACTAGATAACTCATGCGCAAATAACCACCGAGGAACGTACGGCCCGATCCAACAGAAAAGTAAATGTGCATTGCCGAGGGTCGAACGGCTCGAACCATAGATATATCTATTACTCCGCTCGCGAATCACGGCTCGAACCATAGATATATCTATTACTCCGCTCGCGAATCATACATGCGACGTTGTAAAATTTAAATAAACAACCACCCTGCTCGCGAATCATGCATGCAACGCAGGTACACGTAAAATACATGCTCAAGTAGCAGACTAAGAACTTATTGGGGCGCAATTATTCAAGTAAAGGCCAATCCTCTTCTAACAATTTAAGAATATGAAGTTTAATTCCTCTTAGAAATTTATTCACAAATTCACCTTAATTTAAGAATTCAAAAGTCCATAGGATTACAGATATTTCAAGTATAGCATGCTTTTGGGTCCTAGACTACTCGGACAATAGAATTATAGTAGCTACGCACGGACTCTCGTCACCTCGTGCGGGCGTAGCCCCCCACAGATAGGAGCACATAACCAATTAACTCACCTAACGGGACCATTCCCTCTTACAAGGTTAGAAAGGAGACTCACCTCGCTCCGAAGCACCCTTCCAATATCGAGAACAAGCCCAACACCCTCAACGCGAAGCCGAACGAGCACAAACTAATTAAACAACGTAAGAACTAGTCAATAAAGACTTACAAGGTTGAATTCTAGCTATTTAGGCAATTTCCTAACCATTAACACAAGTTTCCTAAATTCCGACCCCGGGCCCACGTGCCCGGATTCCGAGATTTTTCGAAGGAAGTTGTTCTCTATCACCTAAGGATCACAAATATATGATTTCTAGTTCATTTCATGGCAAATTACATGATTAAATCTTTGTTTTTTATTAAACCCTAGGTCTAGCTCTAACCCTTTGATTTTACCTAATTTTTAGTGTTAAATCTACCTAATGTTTATGTATTTGAACTAAAAGTGAGTGGGGATTACTTACCTTGAAATGTTATGTTGAAACCTCCTCTTTGGAATCACCAAAATCGCCTAAGTGTTGAGAGAAATGTGAAAGAAATGAGCTTGAGCTCGTATTAAATGAATCCTTCTGTCCCCAGTTATTTTCGCATCTGCGGAAGTATTTCCGCTTCTGCGAAGTCCGCTTCTGCGGAAATTGGAGGGGGCCGCATAAGCGGAACCGCTTCTGCGGTCCCTGGGTCGCTTCTGCAGTTTCCCCTGGCCTGCCCCTATTTCGCTTCTGCGATCAAATGACCGCATCTGCGGTCCAAGAACCGCAGATGCGGTTATGACAGAAGCAGCAAACTTCAGTCATTTTCCAAATTCTAACTTCACTCGAGCCTCGCTCGTTTGACGCTCGGGGCTCCCGTGCCCCGTCCGAACATACCGACAACTCTGAAATCACGAGGCGGACCTACTCGAACCCTCGAAACACTCAAAACAACGCTAAATCGAGCAATCAACCCCAAAACCAAATGAATTAAATCATTGAACTTCAAGTTCTTAATTCTCCTCCAATGGGTCAAAACGCCCTTAAACTACTCGGATTGACACCAAATTTTACGGGTAAGTCTTAACTGATATTTCGGACTTTTACCAAGTTTCGGAATCGAAATCCGAACCTGATACCTAGGAAGACAATGATTTCTTAGCTTATTTAAATCTTTGAAACTTTAACTTAACAATTTCACATAAAAATTCATTACTCGGGCTAGGGACCTCGGAATTCGACTCCGGGCATACGCCCAGGTCCCATATTTTCCCACGGACCCTCAGAAATTGTCAAATCACGATTCTGGGTCCGTTTCCCCAAAATGTTGACCGAAGTCAAACTTGGCCTTTTTAGAGAAACTTAAAGAGGCAATTGGACATATTCTTGCTCAAAACTCTTCTAACTTCCGAACCACCCGTCCCCGCAAGTCATAAATTAGTTAAAGCAAGTGCGGAAAGTTTTATTTAAGGGAACGGGGTTTAAAATGCAAAACGACCAGTCGGGTCGTTACATTCTCCACCTCTTAAAAAAACGTTCGTCCTCGAACTGACATAGAAAAGTACCTGGACTGCTGAATAAGTGGGAATATCTGCTCTGCATGTCCTCCTCGGACTCCCAGGTCGCCTCCTCGACCGGCTGGCCCCTCCACTGGACTTTCACCGCAGAAATCTTCTTGGACCTCAGCTGGCGATCCTGTCTGTCAATAATAGCAATTGCTCCTCCTCATAGCCCAAGATCTCATCTAGCTGAACGGTGCTGAAGTCCAACACGTGGGACAGGTCGGCATGATACTTCCGAAGCATTGAAACATGAAAGACTGGGTGAACTCCTGATAAGCTAGGACACAAGGCAAGCTCATAGGAAACCTCCCCAACTCTGCTCAACACCTCAAAGGGGCCTATAAACCTTGGGCTCAACTTGCCCTTCTTCCCGAACCTCATAATGCCCTTCATGGGCGAGACATTCAAGAGAACCTTCTCGCCCACCATAAATGATACATCCCGTGCCTTCTGATCCGCGTAGCTCTTTTGCCTGGACTGAGCTGTGCGAAGCCTCTCCTGAATCAACTTTACCTTGTCCAAGGCATCCTGTACTAAGTCTGTGCCAAGTATCTTAGCCTCACCAGGCTCAAACCACCCGATAGGAGAACGACAACGCCTACCATACAAAGCCTAATACGGGGCCATCTCTATGCTGGACTGGTAGCTGTTATTGTATGCAAACTCCGCTAAGGGCAAGAACTGATCCCACTGCCCTCTGAAATCAATCGCGCACGCTCTAAGCATATCCTCCAAAATTTGCACCGTCCGCTCCGACTGTCCGTCGGTCTGGGGATGGAATGCTGTACTAAGCTCTACACGAGTCCCTAACTCACTCTGCACGGCTCTCCAGAAATGGGAAGTGAACTGAGGGCCTCTTTCTGATATGATGGACACCGGCACACCATGCAACCGGACTATCTCCCGAATATAGATCTGAGCATATCTCTCCGCTGTATAAGTAGTCGCCACTGGGATGAAATGAGCCGACTTGGTCAATCTATCCACGATGACCCACACCGAATCAACCTTCCGCAAAGTCCGCGGCAACCCAACTACAAAATCCATGGTAATGCGCTCCCATTTCCACGTTGGTATAGGCATCCGCTGAAGTAGCCCGCCTGGTCTCTGATGTTCATACTTGACCTGCTGGCAATTCAAATACTTAGTCACATACTTCACTATATCCTTTTTCATCCCCGGCCACCAATAGTGCTGCCTCAAATCACGATGCATCTTCGTGACTCCCGGATGAATAGAATACCTCGAACTGTGGGCCTCCCCAGAATCTGCTCCCTGAGATCTTCAACATTAGGAACACATAGACGGCCCTGGAGCCGCAACACACCATCCTCGCCAATAGAAACCTCCTTGGCACCTCCCTGAAGTACCGTCTCCCTAAGGACTGCTAAATGTGGATCATCATACTGCCGGGCCTTGATCTCCCCCAATAACGAAGACTGGGCGACCACACACGCTAGAACTCGGCTGGGCTCTGAAATGTCCAACCTCACGAGTCTGTTAGCCAAGGACTGGATGTCCAAAGCTAGTGGCCTCTCCTCTGCTGGAATGAATGCTAGGCTACCCATGCTCTCCGCCTTCCTGCTCAGGGCATCCGCGACCACATTCGCCTTGCCCGGATGATAAAGAATAGTGATGTCGTAATCTTTCAGCAACTCGAGCCACCTGCGCTGCCTCAAATTGAGATCCCTCTGCTTGAACAAATGCTGCATGCTGCGGTGATCGGTGTAAACCTCACAAGGCACCCCATACAAATAGTGCCTCCATATCTTAAGAGCATGAACAATCGCCGCCAACTCCAGATCGTGCACCGGGTAATTTTTCTCATGAATCTTCAGCTGACGCGAGGCATATGCAATAACTCTCCCCCTGCATCAGCACACATCCCAGACCAATGCGTGAAGTGTCGCAATACACCGTATACATCCCCGTACCGGAAGGCAATACAAGAACTGGCGCCGTAGTCAAAGCTGCCTTGAGCTTCTGGAAGCTCTCCTCGCAATCATCGGACCAAACGAACGGGGCACCCTTCTGAGTCAGTCTAGTCAAGGGTGATGCAATGGATGATAAGCCCTGCACGAATCGCCGGTAATAACCTGCTAATCCCAGAAAACTCCTGATGTCGGTCACTGAAGTAGGACGTGGCCAACTCTGAACTGCCTCAATCTTCTTAGGATCTGCTTTAATACCCTCTCCGAACACAATATGTCCCAAGAATGCCACTGACTCGAGCCAAAACTCACACTTGGAGAACTTAGCATATAGCTGCTGCTCTCGCAAGGTCTGAAGCACTACTCTCAAATGCTGCTCGTGCTCCCCTAGGCTATGCGAGTATATCAAGATGTCGTCAATGAAGACGATGATAAAAGAATCAATATAAGGCCTGAATATCCTGTTCATCAGATCCATAAATGCCGCCGGGGCATTAGTCAAACCAAATGACATCACCAGAAACTCATAGTGGCCATATCTAGTCCTGAATGCAGTCTTCGGAACATCTGAATCCCGAATCTTCAACTGATGATACCCTGACCTCAAGTCAATCTTAGAGAACACCCTAGCACCCTGCAGCTGGTCAAACAAATCATCAATACGGGGCAATGGATACTTGTTCTTGATGGTGACTTTGTTCAACTGGCGGTAATCAATGCAAATCCGCATAGTCCCATCTTTCTTCTTCACAAATAGCACTGGTGCGCCCCAAGGCGATACACTGGGCCTGATAAACCCCTTTGCTAACAACTCCTCTAACTGTTCCTTCAGCTCCTTATGAGCCATACGGTACGGTGGGATGGATATAGGCTGAGTGCCTAGAGCCAAATCAATACAGAAATCAATATCATGATCCGGAGGCATGCTAGGAAGATCAGAAGGAAAAACATCGGCGAACTCTCGGACTACTGGCACTGAATCAATCGCCAACTCTACAGCGGTGTCTCGGACATAAGCCAAATAAGCCAAACACCCCTTCTCAACCATGCGTTGAGCCTTCAGGAAAGAAATCACCCTGCTAGGCGTATCAACCGTGGAACCCTTCCACTCCAATCTCGGAAGTCCTGGCATCGCTAGTGAAATTGTCTTGGCATGGTAATCAAGGATGGCGTGATACGGAGATAGCCAATCCATGCCCAGGATGACCTCAAAATCGATCATATCGAGCAGCAGAAGATCTGCTCTAGTCTCGTAACCGCAGAAAGTAACCACACAAGATCGGTAGATCCGATCTACAACCACAGAATCACCCACGGGAGTGGACACATGAACAGGAACACCTAAAGGCTCAGGAGAAATAACCAGGAAACAAGCAAACAGAGATGATACATATGAATAAGTGGACCCTGGATCAAATAATACCGATGCATCCCTACCGCTGACTGAAATAATACCTGTGATAACGGCATCTGAGGCCAATGCATCTGGCCTGGCTGGAAGAGCATAGAATCTAGCCGGAGCACCGGCTGTCTGGCCCCCACCTGTCCGAGTAGTAGCTAGCTGACCTCTCCCCATCTGGCCTCCACCCGTGGGACGACCTCTACCAGTCTGCCCTCCACCTCTAGATGGCTGGGCAGCTGGTGCTGGATCCATGGACTGCTGACCCTGCTGCACCGCCTTGCCCCGAAGTCTGGGACAAGTCCTCTTAATATGACCCGGATCTCCACACTCGTAACATCCTCTTGGCACCGAAGCCTGATACCTTGAAGTCTGAGCCTGCTGACCCGGATACCCACCAGAAGACCCCTGGATAGACGGTGGGCGATACGAACTCTCTGGCGTGGCACTGGAGTGAGCACTAGAAGAACCCTAATAACTGGAATGCTCGCCGGAAGGACCCTGAATGGCTGGTGGGCGGTAAGAACTCTCCGGCATCGCGCTGAAATAAAGCCTAGCTGGGGCACCTCGGGGAGGGGGTGGTGGTGCTGAAATTGGGGGCCTACTGGGATGACCCCTCCCAAAGTGACCTCTGCCCCTAGTTGGGGCGCCTCTGAACTCTCCTGAGAATCTGGCCCTCTTATCCTGCTGCATCTGCTCTCTACCCCTCAAACGGTAACCCTCAATCCTGCGAGCAATCTCAAGTACCAGCTGATACCCAGTACCCATCTCTACCTGTCGGGCCATACCCGACCGGATAGTGGGGTGTAACCCCGCAACGAACCTCCGTACTCTCTCTGCCTCTGTGGGAAGTATCATAAGTGCATGGCGGGACAACTCAGAGAACCTCGCCTCATAATCTGTCACCGACATCTGACCCTGCTCTAGATGCTTGAACTGATGACGCAGCTTTTCCCTCTCAGAAGGTGGAATGTACCGGTCAAGGAATAACTGAGTGAACTGACCAGGTGAGGGGAGGAGCGCCTGCTGGCCTGCTAAGTGAATAAGACTGCCACCATTTACGGGCCCTGCCCTCTAGCTGAAAAGTAGTGAAGTCGACTCTATGCGACTCCAATATCCTCATGTTGTGCAGTCTATCCCTGCACCTGTCAATGAAATCCTGGGCATCCTCATGACGCTCACCACCGAAGACTGGAGGGTGCAACCTGGTCCATCTGTCCAATAACTTCTGTGGGTCGCCGCCCACAGCTGGCCTGGACTGGGGTGCTGCTGCAGCAACTGGCTGAACCCCCTCTGCGGGTAGTGCACCCGGAGTATGATAAAGTGCGGCTGTATGACCTGGAGCCTGTGCGGTAGGGGTCTGTGCTCCCCCTCCTGCCTGTGAGGTAGCTGGATCTGCTGGAAATAACCCAGCCCGAGTCATAGTATCCATGAACCAAAGCATGCGGCCCATGACCTCCTGAAATCCCGGTGCTGTCATGAAATCAGCCGGGGTGGGCTCAGCTGCGGGCACCTCGCCCTGCTCCTCAATGATCGGATCCCTCATAGGATCTGCTGGTGGTGCAACTGGAATAGCTCTAGGACGCCCTCGCCCCCTACCACGGGCCGGTGCCCTCCCCCGGCCTCTGACTCGGCCTTTAGCAACGGGGGGAGCAGCTCCTACCCGGGTCCGGAACGTCGGCGGTACGAGTCCTTACCATCTGTGAGAGAATACAAGAGGGAAATTTAGTACTCTAAGCACTGCACGACAGGAAGTGAATAAAGAGAAGTCTTTCCTAATACCCTATAGCCTCTCGAAGATAAATACATACGTCTCCGTACCGATCAACAAAACTCTATCAGGTTTGCCCATAACTTGTGAGACCTACGTGAACCTAGTGCTTTGATACCATGTTGTCACGACCCATTTTCCATAATAGGTCATGATGGCGCCCGACACCTTTGTCAGGCCAGCCAACGCAGAAGTACAATTAAGTTCTCATTTTACTTTTACCCAAAAACTGAGTGTAACATATTTTTCAAAGTTAAAGTTAAGGCCATGAGTGGTAAATAAAGTATCAAAATAGATATACAACCCAAAACAAATGTCTACTATCGTGTGTGCCAGAACCTGGTGCCACAAGCTACGGGCGTCTAGTAGAATATACACAGAATAACATAATGTCCTACCGTCTGAATCAGGATAGACAGAAATAAAAGTACAGGGAAAGACTTCTTCGGCTGCGAATCGGCATGAAAGAGAAGCAGCTCACCGTAGAAGTCCCAAGGATACTCACTGATGCGCACCAGAATAGTATCCAGATCCACCTGCCTCAGATCCTGTACACAAAAGTACAGAAGCGTAGCAGGAGTACATAAACAACATGTACCCAGTAAGTATCCCGTCTAATCACGAAGAAGTAGAGATGAGAGGTCGACTTGATACTTACTAAGGTCAAGTAATAACGAAAATAATTAATAATAAGC